ACGTATTTAAAAACAAAAAAAAAAAAAAAAAAAACACTTCACAATATTCACAATAGGGTAGCACAGTACACATCTCCGTATGGCGAAAGCCTTTCAAAAATGACTTTTTTTTTTTTTTTACTCTGTTCCTCCTACCGCTCCTTCCACCTTCCGGGTAGCCGCTTACGGCATGTCCCCCCCCTTGTCGATATTCTTGAGAGGGAACTTGATAAAGGAAGTGAAGAGACACCTGCAGATGGGGCACTTCTCCTGGCGCAATGATTTCATGCAGTCATAGCAAAAGGATGAGTGCCTACACGGCATCAACAAAGTGTCCTTGTACGAGGTCATGCAGATGAGGCACTCCTTATCGTGTTCCTCGTGTCCATAAATGTCTAGTATGTCGACAAATTGGAAACCTTCATTTTTCTTTTTGCTTTTATGTACCGCCGTGTTGGTGCCACTTTGGCTAAAAACACAGATGTCTTTGATTATCGATGGAATATACTTATCCTTCATTTTTTTGAAGTCCACCAATACGACTAGCGTGCTGGCATGGGTCCCAATTCCGGTTGTCGCTCCTGTTCCGCTGGCTCGGTTCTTCCCTACCCCTTTCGAGGGGGAGACAGTAGTGGCGGCGCCCCCAGGGGAGCTGCCATACAGTGAAGAAGTGGACATCAAATCCATCGGGGGTGCGCCGTTTATGAGAATAGTGAGGGGGATTCTTATCTGCTCGTCGCTCATGTTGCTACTTAACACTTTTTCGTCAAGGGGGTGTTGCTGATCGTACTTATTCTTCTGTAGTTTCTCCTTGAGATCATCCAGGTAGCAATTTTTCTCGACCTCTATTTGGCTGAGGACATCTGCGACGCAGAAGCTCTCATCGGACGGCATGGTATAGGTGATATTTTCCCTGCACGCGAAGAATGAGCTAGGGGTCTTGTGCAAGCATGAGGTGAAGTTAATGAAGGAGGGGTTCTGCTGTGGGGACAAATGATCACGGTTATGATGGTGATGATCGTAGAAGTTTTCTCCTGTTCCTGCCACATCTTCCTCCCCCGAATAGGAACTACCCTTATGTTTATCCAGAAGGTAAGTCATCGCATCGGAGGAAGGCTTCAACTGTAACGATCTGCCAAACCCTTCGGTAAAAAAGGTCTTAAAATTGTCTATACAAATGACGGTGCTTCTTCCGTTTGTTGTCTTTCTTCGTCCCTCTGTCTTGTCGTGTATCACCTGATTGATTTCATTGAGGAGCACCCCCCAGTAGAGGGTAACACAAACAGGCTTCTTTGAGGAGAAGGTGAAGGTGATGCCATATTTGTACAAGTCAGTTGTGTCCTTGGCGCTGGAGCTGAGGTAATTCTTCACCAACTGAATGTTGTCATGGATACATATGTCTAGGCTTATCTTGTCGACGCTCTTCGGTGTTATCTTTTTCTTAATTCGGATGATATCATTCACGTGGCTCCTGCATAGCATTTTTATTTCGTTGATGTAGCGGGACAAGTTCTGCATGTAGATTGCCTGCGTGGGGGGGGAGAGGCGGTGGGGAGTGAGAAGCGGTGGGGAGTGAGAAGCGGTGAGTATCAGCGACGCTTAGCAGGGGGGACATGCTTACCTTCCGATCCTTGAGATACTTCATAATATTGTAGGAGGTGTAGTACCTCGAAATGATAGACAGGGCCCACAGGAAGATCACGAAAAATATAATAAAGCATAACGTGTTGAGGAAGCTCGACATGTTAAAAATGCAGAGGATGTCTTCCTCTTTGCAGTTATTCGACATGACAATATTCTTGTACATGTCCAGGTCGTACTCGTCGATGATATTCATGGTGCGGGATGTGGGGGGTGAAGACAAACTGGGCGCGGCAGCCGCGGTTGGAGCGACTTCTGCGACTTGCGCGGCTGTTGCAGCTGGTGGTGCCGCTGATTGCGCTTCTACTTCTCCTCGGGGCTGCGGACGGAGCTTCTCGCCTCCCCCGTTGCTCCAAATCGCATCGTGGCGAGGACTCCACCCCCACCCTCTCTTCTTACTCCTCTACACAGGGGGGTCGTTGTTATGTTCTATTCCGCAACCAGCAGCCGAGCGCCGCTGAGTGGTGGGACCGCCTACTGGTGAAGCCACACACTGAAGCCACCTACGCGTGAAGCGCGACGCATCGCAAGGCATCGCAACGAAACACATCGCAAAAGTGTTCCTTCCTCCGGGCTATTCTCTTCACAGAGCTAGGAAAAAAAAAAAATCTGCACAAGCCATAATGTTGTTTTTTTTTTTCTCTCTTCACCAAAGAGGAGGTTTCTTATCAGTTGCGTCCGTAGCCAAAAATCACTACAACTGA